ATAAATATTATTTTGGATTTTTAATCAAACAATTTATATAACCAAAAGAATTAAGTTTTCATTCTTAATTGATTTTTTCTATACTTGATGAAACTTTTATAAAGTCAAAAAAAGGTATTACTATTAAATTATATAGCGAAAAATGAAAAATTTAGTTTTTAATTTTTTTTAAGAAGCTTAAAGAATAATAAAATTAGATACGAAAAATTCGAAACGTTAAAAAGTTGTAATTTAATAAACATCCACTATTAGTAATTATTATAATATATTATAATCACGCGTCCAATAATAAATTTAATTCACTTGGCGGGTTTTTTGAAATCTACGAAATTCACCAAAAAAACTAAAATTCTTGAATTCTGTAAATTTTTTTTACATTTTTTGGAAAAAAGTAGCATTTAGTAGCTTTTTGACAAAATAAGTAGCAAAAAGTAGGCTTGACCAAAAAAGTGTCAAAAAAGTGGAAAAGTGTGTCACTTCAAAGCCTGACTATTATACTTAAAAAACAACAATTGCTTAAACTGGTTCAATTTCAAATAAAATTATTTAAAACTTAAATAGTTTTTTAAATAAATAATTATATATGAAGGGGAGAGTCTCCAGTTGTGAGACTGAGAGGAATAATTTCAATCAAAGAAGAAAGATTAAAATTCATCTTTTAGTTAAAAAACTTTCAAATATAAACAAAAATTTCTCTTTATTATAGATGAATATTCGTATATTAAAAATAAAATGTCAAAATAATTGTTTAGCGGAATTTTCTTCTCACTTTAAAATTTTATATTTTTCGACATAATTTTCAAAAATATTAGTTTAAAACCTTCTGAATTTAAATTAATTTTGAAAATTGCAACTGTTTTCAACTAAAAAATTTTCTAAGTTAATTCTAATTATTATTTTGATGGAAGTTATTCTAAAATTCAATTATTTAATGAAATTAGAAAAAGGTATTGTTTCAAAATTCATTGTAAACAAGAATTTTTGTAATAATTCTAGAAAATATTTTTCTAGTAATTCTGATTTGTAATAAAAAAGAAGAAGAAAATATAAAATTACGCTGCAAATTATTTCCTTTTCTTTCCCAGTGTATATATTTTTATCTTAAATTACTCTAAGTACAGGGATTAAATGTTAAACATTCGACATTCGACATTCGAACTACGAGAAAATATTCGAACAGCTCGGTTCGAATTATTTTGCACAGCTCTAATATTCTTACCATGAACTATCAAAATATGAAAGGAACATTATTATTTATTATTCAAACAATACTTTGAAGTTCACTTTAGAAATAATAATTCTGCGAAGTATTTTCAGTAAAAAACCACGAAATATAAAGCATGATGCAGCCTAATTGGCATGTCGAAAATTCGACATTCGACATTTTGGCGCCCCAAAACAGAACTGAACTCAATTCGGTTCGAATTTTGCACAGCTCTATATTGATCCCAATGACTTGAGTGCTACATTTACCTTTATGGTATTGTAGAAAGAAATTGTCTCTTTAAACATTTGACGGACGAAGCTCTATATATTTTTCAACCAGCGGTGCAAATTTGGAATCAATAATAAATCTTCTTGGTAGTTTGTTTTTGGTATCTGGTACAACAACTTGAAAAAGCTCTCCCTGCTTCTGGACATGACTAAATTTAGTTGAATAAATTTCCTCTTTTCGACAGCAACCACTTAGGCCAAAAATGACAACAATCTGAAAATTAATTCAGAATTATATTGTACATATGTAACAAATTTTCGGTATGTCTCCTCATACACCTCTTTAGATTTTTTCGGCAGTAAATCCTTTGAAATTTGTTTAGCCGTTTCCCGCATTTCTGGCGGTGTGCATCTTCCTTCGTCATCAGACTCGTTACTCGACATTTTCTAGAATAATAATTACATTTTTTAACAATATATAATGTTTCAAAAGTTTAGAATCAGAAAATAATATATATATAAAATAAAATAAAATATTAACAAGATACATATACTTTCAGTCACAATTTTTAGGTTATCTAGGTTAAGTTACATATAACTATAGAAAAATAGATTTAAACACTTACTTCCTAGCCCAGTGCAATGCTTATCTGTTAAAATAAAATAACAAAAATGCACGTGAATTTGTTACAATTATAGTGAACACTCAATCACAAATATATCATTTGTTTTTATTTAATAATAATACGAAATATAAGTTCACTCAGTTCACTGCGTGTTCGTTGGAAAACTTATAGAAATTGAAACAAATATTAGCGCCTGAGCAAATGAGTTTATCACGACGCGTTTTTGCAGTAGTCTGTGTGCTACTATGTATTCTCGATAAAAACGTCGACTCATTCTGTCCTTCTCACTTGGTTCATCGCAGTCGTTACATTATTTTTCTTTTTCGTACTCTGGGGTAGTCTTATTTGCACTCTGTACGAATAAGAGCTCTTATGACGCTCTGTACAAGAAAAGGCAGTTTTCTACTTATCTCCGGAGTACCAAAACACGCCGTTTTTATGACTGAGTTATAAAAAATTACTTATAGTACTAAAAAGTAGCATTTACACAATTTCTGAAGGCAGTGTAAAATTAATTGAAATTAATTGAATAAATAATGTATCACAGAATAATTTTATAATAATACACAAAAATACGTACACAAACAGAAATATATTAAATATTGTAAAATTATTTTAGAATTTGAGAAGAAAATGCGACAGATAGAAGTTTTGATATAAAAATATAACTTTACTAAAATAAGTTTTTTAAAGGTTAGAATTAGGGGGAGTGGGGCAAGACGGGGTTGCAGGCAAAACGGGGTACCGGCCCTTATTAACAAACGAATTAACCATTTGCGATTATATTTTACTTAACACTGCACCGAGACGATAGTTTCTTGTTTACAAAACCTAAAAGTCATGAGAACAAATCTTTTATCTGTTTTACTAAAAAACATGTTTTTGACGATTTTCTTGTGATTTTTTCACTTTTCTTAGGAGGTGTTTATTATTGAATAATAACAGTTAATGGACTATATGAAATTTTTTATAACTGGCAAGAGTTACGGAAGAATGGAAGCATATGCTTTTATTCTTTGTTGAATAGTAAATTGTAGTAATTAATCGTTTTATTCAATTTCGTAGGTGCCGGCAAGATGGGGTAGATGAGAGTGGGTCAAGACGGGGTACACAAATTAAGCAAAAGAAAAGAGAAATAAGAGAAGTTGAGAAAACTACTTATATCAAGACTGAATAAAATAAGAGTGACCAAAAAGAAAAAAGCTTGTCAGGTTAAATCATCAATTAGCGATGGTAAAGTGGAAAATATACCTTGTCTCTATTGTAATGGTTATTATTTAGACTCAAATGAAGGCTGGGCTGCTTGTTCTGTCTGCGGTCAATAGACTCACTGCAGTTATGTTGGTGTCAATGACGAAGATGAAGATGCAACCTTTACTTGTAAAATTTTTCGACAGAAATATGTTGCTTTTTTGACTGCCCCATCTTACCCCTTAGGGTACCCCATCTTGCCCGCCGGTTGGTCAAGATGGGAAGGTTTGCAATTTTTTCCATAGTATTAATGTTATGCTTTTTAAAGAAACAGATGGCTTTTGTATGCCTTTATTACGAAAGACTGATTCCTAAAGATAAAGATGATTATTAAAAAAAAAGGTATATATTCGATAATTTTCGTTTTTTGCGCTTTAATTCTTAAGTACCCCGTCTTGCCCCACTCTTCCCTACAATATAAATAAAAGCTTACCTTTTAAGGCTTCCTCTTAAAGGAAGCCTTATATTGATGTCGATTTCCAAATTTTTTAGAATCAATTATTTTTACAAATTTTCAAGTGTAGCATATATAATTCGACGAGAGGAACAAATGTCCGGTTGTATGTGTGTTTGTATGTATGTTACCGATTCTTGTGGACAAATTTTCTCCTACACGTTTTGACGGATTTTGATAAAATTTGGTAGGTGTATTACGGTCACGAATACCTAAAATCATACAGAAAAATTTTCAAAAATATTTAAAAAACAATTTTTTAATTTTTAAAAAAATTGATTTTTGTATTTTTTGAAATAACTTTTTTCTTTATTCAAATTTTTGTTCATTCTTGTCAAAATTGCATTCCTAATATGAAAACGAATCGATTTGTGTATATAAAGTATATATTTTACCAATATTTATAGAATTAATTAATATTTTATAATTGGTTGCCCGTATTTCCAATTATAAGGGGGAAAAGAGGGGCAGGAAAGGAAAGAAATGAGACACCAGTTTACAAATAAATGAATTATTTATTCAACTTACGTTACTGAGTGCTTCCACCAGTAGATCACACTATCTCGATGTATAAACAGTCACCGGGGAATCGATGTAGACGAACAGAAAACCACGAGGTGTTGCGTAGGGAGAGATCAGACAACAAGTGACGCGTCTGCTCGCGAATTCGGCGATTGACACCCTCGAGGCCCTTCGGCCGTTTCCGGGTTCAATCGCCTCATTCGCGACAGACGCGGGAGAATTTGTAACACTGTGTTCGTTGTAATTTGTGTCGAAGACTATAAATTCAAGATTTTCTTTTTTAATATTTTCTGCTAGTTTCCTTGAATTGTCTGCTAGGCTATTCTCCAAGAATTCCTTCATCTCCTCTCGACGATTATCCCAATTCGCTCTTATGTATTTTGTCCCATTTTCCGCCGGCTCGCAGTATCCTGCTCGTGCTTTGAGATTTCTCTTATTGCAGAATTCATCATGGATTATATAATGGGTTTTCCATATGTCCTTTTTGCAGAATCTGCAGCTCCAGACTTCGTTGTTGTCCATTGTTTCCTGTAACATTCCAAAAAAATTTTCTACTAACCCAAAAAAAAAATTAAACATAAAAGTTTATCTCTTTTCATTTTTATTTTATTCATGATTTGAATATTCGTTTTAAGTGCGGAGAGAAAAAATATAAATAGAATTTGCTTTAATTTGTAGTTTATTGTACTATTTTGTGTACAGGATTGATATTAACCGATTTGTGTAATTAATCTTGAGAAAAGAAAAATAATGTGATGAGAAAAATTTTGCAAAGAAATAATAAGAAAAAAAATAAGGATACAAGTGTCATAAGTCTTACGAAGGTACAGTAAATATTGTACATGTCCGTTATAACGTAAAAAAAACTGCTTTGACTGAGAGAAAAAAGAAAGTTGGACTTTATACACGGAAAAAAATACTAGGCTAAAAACACATGAGCGTCTGTTGTGTATATTGCACGCACATTACCATGCGTGATTAGCTTGGAATCCATCCTATTTTCGCATGGTGCTGTGGCAAAAGTCACAAAAGCCATGCATTTTTAGTAAACTCCTGTGTGATATTTGCAAAATGGGCTCATGTAAAAATCGAACCAATAGACTCCATGCATTATTAGGCTGATTTTTTTTCCGTGTAATAGACTTTGACTTTTGTTTTATTTCTAGTTTTTGTTAAGATTTTCTAGAAACTCCTCGAGTTCCCTCTGATTGGCCTCTTTCAACTCCTTCCATTCTCTTTCTTGGCTCGATTTTTCTTCCCAGTTTTTCTCGATTTTAGCGCGTCGGTCGCATCTATTTCCTCTGGTTGGTCGTCTTCTATTGTTTCTCTATTTTGGTCTTCTTCGATGTTATTTTCGTTAATTTCCTCCAAATTTTCTTCGATATTGTTTTCGATTATTTCCTCCAAATTTTCCTCGATATTTTCCTGGATGTTTTCCACGATATTTTCTCCGATGATTTCCTCGATATTTTCTTTGACGTTATCCTCGATATTTCCCACGATATTTTCTTCGATAATTTCCTCGATGTTTTCCTGAACGTTATCCTTGATATTTCCCACGATATTTTCTTCGATAATTTCCTCGATGTTTTCCTGGATGCTTCGTTCGTAGATTGTAATTTTTTTAGAGCTTGTCGAGTCGTCTGATGAGTCATAGGAGGAATCTTCGGATGAATTTTCTTCTTTTAATATTTCATTGTTTCTTATTTCTCTATTTAATTTTGTCAATGATATTTGTAGTCTTTGGAGTGTCGTTTTTTTGTTGATTAAGGATTTTTCCTCCCATATGATTTCTTTTTCTAATCGTTCTATGCTTTGTTCCAATTCGTTTTTCTGTTGCCATTTTGCAAGTCGGATTTCTCCTTTGGCGTATTCTTCCCAGGTTTTCGCGTAGACTGTCATTTTCTGCAAAGAAAAATTAACCTTCATTTTACTTCACATTCGTTAATGTAAAACAAATAAAAATAATTGTTTCTTGTATCCAGAATAGAAAGAATACTTGTTTCAATTTTATCAAGTTTTTGTTTTTTGATTTTCCTACAATTTTCGTTTCGTTTCCTACAGTAATTTTCTTACAATTGTAATTTAATTTTACTTCATTTTCGTTCAATTTTCTTTAAGGTTTCGTATTATTCTTAATTAATTTTCTTTAAATTTTCTACTAATTTTCTAGGAATTTTCTATATTTTCCTGGAAATTTTTCCTAATTTTCGTTATTTACGAATTTTCGCAAATCATTTATATTCCACGATCCTATTGATTTTCCGCGAATTTTCCCTAATTCGTACATTGTGGGGGAAATTTTTCGAATTATTTTATATGGGCCTTCGAAATCTTTTTTCAATTTTCGCGCAATTCCTAGATCTTTGCTGGAAAGAGATTTGTCTTTCTTCTAGACTAGATCTCCTACTTCGAATTCTAATTTTCTCCTACGCAAATTGTAATATTTCGCTTGTTTTTCGTTCGCTTTATCCAAATTTCGTTGAACTTCGTCCTTAATAATTTGTAAGCGTCTCAGTCTTTCTGTCCACTTGTCAACTTCCTGAAATTCAATTTCGTCCGGATTTTCGAAATCTTTTTTCAGTGTTTGAAAAGGTTGAAGTTCACGACCTAAATTGAGGAAAGCTGGGGTGAAATTAGTTGAGGAATGTTTCGAGGTATTTAAAGCAAATTGTAGATCGTCGATGTCTTTATCCCAAAGATTCTGTTCCTTATCTAAATAAGCCTTAATAGCCGTTTTAATCGATCTATTGGTCCTTTCGGTCGGGTTTGCTTGCGGGTAGTACTTTGGTGTAAAAGAGTGTCTTATTCCGAATTTTTCCGACATTTCCCGTATCAATTTATTGGCATATTCCGTGCCATTGTCGGAAACTAAAATTCTGGGTGTTCCCCATCTGGAAATTACTCTTTTATGAAACTCTGCTTCGATAGTTTTTCCGTCTGCCTTCTTAATTGGAATTATTTCCACCCATTTTGTGAAAATGTCCAGAAATACTAAAATATTTTTGTTCCTATTTTTCGATAAGGGTAATGGGCCTATTATATCTGAAGCAACCATCGTCCATGGTTCCTCCACGATTCGTTTACCCATTGGTCCTATTTTCGGTTTGTTATTTGCTTTTGTCTGTTGGCAAATTTTACATTTTCGAATATATTTTACTATTTCCGTGTACATTCCAGGCCAGAAAAAATTTTCGGAAATTCTATGGAAAGTTTTCTCCACACCAAGGTGTCCTGCTTGCACGTTATCATGATTTTCGACTAATACCTGTTTTCTCAAATTTTCCGGAATAACTAATTTCCATGGATTTTCATCTTTAAGGAGGGGTGATTTTAACGGATCGGGTCTATGAAAATATAATTGTTTGTCTCTAATTCGCTAATTTTCGTGTTCTTGGGGTTTTGATTCTACTAATCTCATTTTTGTTTTATACCAACTATTTTCTGTTTGATTTTCATTATTTTCGATTTTTATTTCCTCGGAAATTTCTTGTTTTTCTTCGAATATTCTTGACAACGCGTCTGGAACTACGTTCGCTGAACCTTTTCGATATATTATTTCGAAATCATGTTCCGATAGTTCCAACGCCCATCTCACCAAGCGTCCTGTAGGATTTTTCAAATTGTGTAACCATTTTAAAGCAATGTGATCAGTTATTACTTTAAAATGACTACCTTCTAAATATTGTCGAAATTTTCCTATGAACGTTTTCACCGCGAGAATGTCAATGTCTTGTGTCAAAACTGCGCCTAGACCCGTGTCACTTGCGTCAGTTTCTAGTATGAAAGTGTGTTGAAAATCAAGGGGGTCTAAGATCGGAGCTGTCGTCAACAACTCGATCAGTTTTAATTTTTCTATTTCCTGATTTTCGTTCCAAGTCCATTTTACATTTTTCCGTAGTAATTTTTGCAAAGGTTCAATTATTTCAGCGAAATGTGGAATAAATCGTCGGTACCAGCTAACCATTCCTATAAAACGTTGTAACTGTTTAATAGTTTTAGGAGTCGGAAATTCTCGAATTGGTTTGACTTTGTCGTCATCGATTTGCAGTCCTCTTTCGTTAACTACGAAACCTAGGTATTTTACCTCCGCACAACCGAATTCACTTTTTTCAAAATTAACTGTCAACCCTGCTTCTTTCAATTTTCCTAATACTATTTCCAGATATTTCATGTGTTCGTCAAACGTTTGAGAAACTATAATTATGTCGTCGAGGTAACAGAAAACTTTTGGTTTAAGGTCAGGCGTAATAATTTTGTCCATTAACCGCTGGAACGTTGCGGGAGCATTGCAAAGTCCAAACGGCATTCGCTTGTATTGGAACATTCCAAAACCAGGAACAACGAAAGCCGATTTTTCCTTGGACTCTTCACTCAATGGGATTTGATTATACGCCCACTTTAAATCGACCTTAGAGATATATTTCGCGGCTCTGAGCATATCTCAAATTTCGGCCATTAACGGAACCGGATACAGATCTTTTTTTGTGACTGCGTTGACTTTCCGAAAGTCTAGGCACAATCTGTATGTTCCGTTCGCTTTCTTTATCATAACAATTGGATTCGACCAATTGCTATTACTTGGCTCGATAATACCTTCGCGTAACATTCTTTTAATTTCCTTAATTATTTCCTCCTTAATTTTCGGCGAAACATAATAATATCTTTGATTTATCGGCGCTGTACCCTGCGTGTCAATTACGAGTTCAGTCAAATGAGTAGCTTTCAAAATTTCCTCGGGGGGCGCTAATCTAACTTTTAAAAATTTATTTAAAAATTCTTGTTCTTCCTCGGACAATTCGACTAGTCCTGAACAAAATTCGGTTTTATCTAAACAACTCGATTCTCGCAATATTTTTTCCTGCATATTGTTGTTCATTATCGCGTTGTTTTTGAAATTAATCCATTTCGTGTTTAACGGTATACGAAATTTATTTCCAATCGCCATAGAATTTTTCGATAATTTCCAGAAGAATTTGATTGGAATCTCGAGTTTCCACCAAACTTTCTAGAATTTCCGTTATTTCCCTGATTCGTAGTTTGCTTCGATTTATCATTAGACGAGTTTTTATCCGTTGTTATTTTCAAATATTGTCCGCGAATTTTAGACTTATTTCTTTCAATTTCAAATTCTTTACCTAAACTTTCTAGTTCCTCAAACGTTTTAAAATCGTTTCTTTGAATGTACATCTTGTACTCGAGACGCAAATTTTCATATGCACGACGTAATTCCCAGTGTAGACCTTTTCGTGGGTTTAATTTTCCGAATAGTTTTCTTATTCCAATCAAAAAGGTTCGAATTTCTTCGCCCTCTTTCTGATTGCAATATTTGATTTTCGTGTTAATTTCCTCGTAGAACTTTTCGTCTAAAAATGTTCTTTCGAATTCTTCACGAAAATCTTGTAAAGAAAACCAATTGTTTCTAACCGTCCTACACCATTCAAGGGCTTCGTCTGCTAATACTACGTCTATGTTTTCTAATACACGACTTTCCGGGATTTCATAACCTCGCATGAATCTATACAATTCTTCTAGAAATTGCACTGTGTTGTTCGTTTTGTTATTATGAAATTTAACTGGCCAATTTGACATGATTTGTTAAGGTGTTTGTAACATGCCAAAAGGAAAATGATTATTGAAATTTCCAAAATGTCGGTTGTTGTCGACTTGGGCATTTGGATTTTCAATTTCCGTACTTTCCGTGAAATTTTCTTCGAAATTTGGATTTTTACTTTTCGTTAAATTTTTCATCGCAATTTTCATTCGGTCTAATTCCAATCTAAGTTGATTTAATTCCTTATCGCGTATCGATATTTCATTTTTGAACTGATCTAACTCGGTTGATTTTTCTTTTAATTCCCGATTAAAATTAATATTTTTCCCTTTCGGAACAGTTCCTAACTTTTTGGGTTCGTTCTTGATTTCTATTTCACTATCGTTCGGCCATTCATAGTTAATTTCCTGATTTTTGCTTTTAAATTGGACATTTTGTCTTTTTTCCCTAATTTCGCGTTTATCTGAGTCGAAATATTGATCTATTTTTGTTCGAAAACTATCTTCCGAATCGCTGTTATTTTGATTATTTATATTTACCGAACTATGTGCTAAGGGTTTGTATTTTTCTTGCACAATTTTCCTATGTTCGATCTCTAATCGTTTTTCTTTTTCACGCAATTTTTCCCTTTCATTTCTCAGCATTTCATCGTATGCTGTTAATTCGTTCCTACTTTTAATCATTTGGTTATTTGTCCCTAAAAACGAATTAATATCAAAAGTTCCGTCTTTTGATTTTCCTGGAAAATTTTCCGTCACATTTTCCGATAATTTTCCTAACAAATTTTCTGTGACATTTTCCTAATCTTTTTCAATATCTACAACCGTTTTCTTAATCGTTTTTAAGTATTGTTGTAGTATTGATTCTGGTTTGGGGGGCTTTACTTGGTTTCTCTGTCCGGGCAATGGCAGAGATGTGTTCGCTGTGACTTGTCTCGCTTCGCTGGGGAGGGGCAAAGATTGATTGGAATTCAAAAATTGCAATCTTTCTGGGGGCATCATGTCAATGAGTGTCAATGAGTGAATCATTGCATTTTGCTTTTCTATTGTGGCTTCCAAAATTTGCGACTTTCCTTTTGCAACATTTTGGTGGGGGGATTCTGTTTCGCTCGCCGTTTCCGTTTCGCTTCCTGACATATTTTCTGTTTTCTTATTTTCCCGAATTTTTCTTGTATCCAATGGTAATCCACGTCTCGACTGCATTTGTGACTCAATTTTGAAAAATTAGAAATAAGTTTAAATCGTTATTTAATCTATTCTACAAATTTCAACTTACGCAAAAAGAAAAAATTTTCCGCTAATTATTGTTCAACGTCATGAACTCTATGTGAGAAAAAGCTTCTATTGCTAAATCACAAATGTTCGAACTAATTTTCTTCAATTTTCTCGAGATTTACCGTATCTGTTTATTTTGTGCTTAAAAAAAATTATTACACGTTCATTTTCCGAAAAACACTAAAAAGTTTAAATCGATACTTTTGACACACCCGGTATACGTTGCAAAAAGTTTTATTTTCTTCTTAACTGTATAATATCGAAAAACAAAAAAAAAATTAATTTTCCTTTATTATCAACAATTAATTTCAATTTGTTTATTAATTGTGTAACCATTAAATATTGCTTTATGTTAAAATCGAAAAGAAACATGAATTAAATAAAATAACTTTTCATAAAAAGACTCAATAATTAAAATATTATAAATAAATTTAAAAAAATAGCAGAATAAATGAATTAATAGAACAATTTATTTTATCCAATAGAAATCAAGCTTGAATTTATAATAATCAATTTAAAAAGTCATCAAATACATAGATTTTATCATTCACACAACACACACATACAAACAAACATAGATATCCCAATAAATACAATATAAAATTTAATGTTAAAAAATAAGAAATGCGCAAATCATTGAGATTTTAAGTGAATTCTCATGAGAAAGAATACAAAATATAAAGACAATATACGGACCAATATCGATAAAGATTTTTCCTTTAGTCGAACGTTTTTTTAGGTGAGAGGACGAGATGATGTTGAGCCTTGTTCCCAGTCAAAGTATGCATACCCAATTTACGAATTCATCAGAGTATAAATTAAAATTCTTCTCCACAGCTTATATTCTGATGCACGCTGATCAGGAGATCGAATTGTTGCTCTGGTTCGCCGTCAATAAAAGTTAGGGAAGACTCTTCGAATATAAACTTTCTGCCATTTGTATAAATTCGCCACTCTAAATGAACATACAATTATTGATAATATTTTTCCTTCAATCACAAAATTGAATCATTTTATCTCACTTATTTTCACAATATCAATTTTTCTTTTACCTTAAGGTTCTGCGCGAGACATTAAAAATGGCGAAAGAAAAACGTCCTAAACGCTGGACTATAATTTTATAAACTGGTCTCAATCATTCTCGTCTTCATGCCTGTCCCCACTCATTTCATTTATATATACGACGAGTGACGATTCGGGAACAAACGTTGATTTTCGGCAAATCGAGGAAACACCTCTTTTCTTTTTGCTCGAGTGTCCGTCTCACAATTTCATTATCGCACAAATATACTTTTACATATACATGAAATTTAGATCCTTACAATATTCCCCTTTGTTTAGACTAAACAAAGTTACGTCGAAACAAAATACTTATTCATTCAAAAAACTTAAAAACGGAATTCATAAACTCTCCATACCATACACAAAATGATTCTTTCCTACATACAAATTTAAAAAAAAATATATATATATCGATACGCAAAAAGAGAAGTCCTGACATACATTTACAATTGTCGACTACTTACACATAAATGATATAATCTAATCATATGGTAATAATTGAAATGATGACAACACTTGTCATTTACTGTGACTCAGGCGATCGATATTTTTTTAAATTGAAGCGATTATAAATGCCAAGAATTTTTGTCGGGTCATCAATATATCCGAGTTCGAAAGCATTATTATCGAAACATCTTGTTATCTGATACGGACCGTAAAATATATGAAAAAATTTTTTTGTTAATTTCTTGAGGGCATCAGATTGTTTAGGAATAGACAATAAAACATGATCACCTTCATGCAAAACAACATGGGACCACGATTTCTGAGTTCGAGCTCGTTTATTGAAACTTTTATTAATTTTTTCACGAGCGAGCATAATTTTCATTTCTTTATTCAAAGATTCGGTTTCCGGGAAACTTATTATTTGTTGAATCATATCAGAAGGCCTTTCTCCAAAATGTAATTCCAAAGGAGAAAATCCCGTACTGTGATGAGTGGTTATATTTAAAAAAAATTCGATTTCCGAAATATGCTTACCCCAGCGTGTATGACGCTCAGAACATAACGTTCGAAAAAATCGACCCAACTCCCTCATTACTCTCTCAACGGGATTGCCCTGAGGATGACGAATAGAGGAAAAAATGACCTTGACTTCAAGTTTACTGAGACAATTACTCCATTTTTTTGATGTAAATTGTGAACCGTGATCTGCTAAAATTCTTTTGGGTTTACCCATCTCGGGAAAGTATGATTCACGCAATTTCTTTAAGACGATTTCGGTAGTTTCTTTTTTAATAGGATAAAGTTTGACGTATTTTGAAAATACGTCTAAGACTACAAAAATATATTGTAAACCACCTATTGATCGAGGAAGGGGCCCGAAAAAATCTACACTTACTAAATCACCCGGTTCAGTTGATTGCACCAATCTATATTCCCCCTCCATTTTTTTATTCAGGCACTTTACTCGTTGGCATAAATCACACGACAAAACTTGATTTTTTACCTGTTTACCCATTCCTTTCCAAAAGTAAAATTGTTTTAAATACATCAAGGTTTTATAAACACCCGGATGTCCAAGTTTGGAGTGGACACAATCGATTAATCTCTTAGTAAGAACAGCAGGAATGAAAACTTGACACAATTTAAGAAACTTATCCATCCGAAACAAAACACGATTATACGACAAATAACACTCTTCAGCTTTGCCAATCTTTATTCGATCAAAAATACTCATAGCAAATTCATCTTGATGCTGCAAATCTGCCAGATTTTTTAATGAATTCTCCAAATCAACATCATAAGAGATTTGATTTACACAGAATTCAGCATCAAAATCATGACATACATTTACAACATCGATACTTAAATAATTTTGCATGACATCCTCGAATTTACCCCTGGGGTTTCGACTAAAAAAATCGGCAATAATATTATCCTTTCCCTGACAATAGGAAACATTATAATTATATTGCTGTAAAATAATAGACCATCGGATTAATCGTGAACTTTGATAGCAGGTTGTGTGTAAAAAGGTAAGACCCTTATGATCAGTAATAACCTCGAATTTCTCACCCAGTAAATAAGTTCGTAATTTCGTTATAGAGTAAACGATCGCCAAAAGCTCCTTTTCGGTCGTCGTATAATTTACTTCCGCCGAATTCAAACACCTACTAACGAGAGAGACTATTCGAGGATTATTTTCGTGATCAAATTGGTATAAAACTCCACTTATTCCTATATCTGACGCATCGGTTTGCAATTTATACATAGAATTTGGTATATGATGACTAAGTTTCACACTATTTACAAAAGCAAGTTTCATTATTTTAAAAGCTTCGTCATGTTGACTGGTCCATTCCCAAGGATTTTTTTCCTTTAACAAAACACGAAAAGGTTCCAATAAATTCGAATGTGATACTGTAAAATGGCGATAATATGTACATATTCCCAAAAACTGTTGTAATTCGCGCCGATTTTTTGGCACCTGAAAATTTTTTATAATTTCGAGTTTATCTGTTCGCGGAGTTATCCCATCAATAGACAACTGGTGTCCCAAAAAATTGATTTTTTTTTTAAAAAATAACGATTTACTCAACTTTAATGTGAAGTTCTTTTTTTGTAAAACATCAAAAATTCCCTCCAACGCATGTAAATGATCATAAAAAGATCCCCTCGTGGCTATCAAAAAATCATCTATATACATTGAGAGGACATCACGAAATTTATCACCTAAAGCAAAATTTAAAGCGCGAATGAAAGCTGAGCCAGCCGTCTTTAAACCAAAAGGCAATCGGCAAAATTGGTATACCTTCGAGTCGTAAACAAAAGCTGTATATTTCCGGCTATTGGGATGCAGGGGTATCTGCCAATATCCGGTTGCAAGATCAGTAGTCGAAATAAATGTAACACCATAATATTTCTGTAACAGTTCATTAATCAAAGGGGGTGACTCATGATCATCTTCAATTATCTCATTAATGAAGCGAGCATCGAGACATATTCGTACGGTACCGTCATCTTTTATAACAATTCTAAGGGGACTGCAATACGAACAATCTGCTCTTTCAATTATTTTAAGGTCAAGCATTTTTTGCATTTGCTTTCCTACAGGCTCACGATGTTTCCACGGAATCGGATAACTTTTTCGAATATACGTTTTATGCGGCTTTATTTTTAATTCGTACTCAAAAGTATCAGCGCTCTCATATTTCGGAGTAAATAATTTTTCAAATCTCGACATTCTCTCTATAAAAACTTTTTTTTCCTCTTCGCTCAAATGAGAAACTGAGTCAATAATAGATCGTAAACCCTCAATAAAATTATTCGAATCCTGAATTTCATTATAATTTTCATTTAAAGAATCGAGATCGTCAGAACAGTCATTATCAACTTGAAAATAATCTACTTTATCACAAAAAACATTCCCCACTTCAACCTTTTGTTCCTCCGGTTCCTTTCGAAAAATAAACATCTCTCTATTCTCATAAAGATCTGAATCATTCAAACAAAATAAATTTTCCAAACAACCTTCAAAATCTATCTCAACACTATCATTTATTAAACAATTATTCCCCTGCTTTTTAAAATTGTTATTTAGTTGAATGTTGCTTTCTATACCAATTGTTTGAATATATTTAATTCCATCTTGAAATTCCGAGAGAGTTAAACTTTCATAAGGTATCTTATCAAATCTGATAATATCCTTTGGCACTTGAAATCCATTAATTATAAAATCATTATTTTCATAATCAATAAGGACTCCATTAGCAATTAACCAATCATTGCCAAGGATAATCGAATTTGAAAGATTAGGCACAATCAAAAAATAAAATAAATATTTATTTTCTCCCAAAAATATTTCGAGCATAATTTGTTTTTTAATATTAGTTGGTTTTTTACCAATAGCCGTAAACAATGACAAATTTGACACAGGAAGTTCCGTTAGTTTACCGTGCAAAGACAAATACTGATAAAAATTCTCCGAAATCGCAGAAATTTGACTACCGGTATCGATCAAAGCCGGAATAGGCACAGAAAAAATTGTAAGAATAATTCGAGGACAGAGAGGAATTCGCGATAATTTTTTATTTCCATTAATATCATTCTCTTTATCAAGATCTTTATCTAAATTTGCAAATTCGTCATATAAACATTGGCGCGAAGTTTTGACTGATAACATCGCGCCTAAAACCCGTTTAAATGGTCGGCGCTATGTTGATCACGAGACAATCCAAAACGTTCAGAGCCCAATGAGGGAGGGGGTATTCTAGTATCCGGTAGTTGTATAGCGACTCGATTTTCCATCAATCTCGACGAAGGCGAGGGCCCCGCGCAATTATTACACTTGTGTAGGGAAACATTTGGCCATTGTATTATACCATCTACTTGATGACAATTTACTGATGTTCTATTTTGTTCATGTTTATTAGATTTTAATTGATTTTTATTTTCATTATTATTCGTATTCGAATTATTCTGTTTTCTTTGATTATTTATCTTATCATTAAAAGAAAGATCTAATTGAGTTAAAGCTTGACATATTTTATTAAAATCAGAAAAATCAACCGTGGCCAATGCTTCCCTAGCACGCGAAGGCATTTGAGATATAATAGTATAGTGCATTTCAAAATTTTCAATTTTTGGCAAAAAATATTGGGCCTCCTGAACTTGATTCAAAAAATATGAATGAATATTTCCCTGATTTGTATCAAATTTTTTAGCAAGCCATTTAGCCTTTATTTTTACACGAATAGGCACAGAGTAAAATTCATCTAAAAATTTATTTTTAAAATCATCATAATCCTCGAATAAATCCCTCTGTGTTCCGAACCAAACTCGAACTCTTCCATCAAAAGAATTTTCTACCATGTCCAAAGAATTATTATTATTTATCCTTTTAACAGTAAAAAATTTGTCTAATTTTTCTAAAAAATAATTTGGATTATCTGATTCCAAAAATTTAGGGGGTTTTAAATCAACATTAAGAGATCGTAATCCATCAATTAAAGCCTGAACGACATTATTGCCACCATTTCCATTATTATTGGCAATTTGTTGTCTTAAAACATCTAATTGATTATTTTGTGCTACATTCAATTGATGCAATCTAGTTACTTCCTCACGGAGTTGATCTACATTCATTTCGTTCAATAACTCCATATTCCCCTGCTCAGCCATTTCAATATTAATATTTTCAATAATTACTTGATTTCTATTAAATTTATTTTTAATTTTCTTAATCGTCTCCAAACCTGTCAACAAAGTTCCTTCCTTCGACCTTGTTTTCATATATCTACTTATAACTGATAATATTTCTTGACAAATACAAAATAAAATTTTAATTAAACGGACAACCTCTATTGTGCCCTTCACGTTGAGCGCCAAAAATGTAACCATTAAATATTGCTTTATGTTAAAATCGAAAAGAAACATGAATTAAATAAAATAACTTTTCATAAAAAGACTCAATAATTAAAATATTATAAATAAATTTAAAAAAATAGCAGAATAAATGAATTAATAGAACAATTTATTTTATCCAATAGAAATCAAGCTTGAATTTATAATAATCAATTTAAAAAGTCATCAAATACATAGATTTTATCATTCACACAACACACACATACAAACAAACATAGATATCCCAATAAATACAATATAAAATTTAATGTTAAAAAATAAGAAATGCGCAAATCATTGAGATTTTAAGTGAATTCTCATGAGAAAGAATACAAAATATAAAGACAATATACGGACCAATATCGATAAAGATTTTTCCTTTAGTCGAACGTTTTTTTAGGTGAGAGGACGAGATGATGTTGAGCCTTGTTCCCAGTCAAAGTATGCATACCCAATTTACGAATTCATCAGAGTATAAATTAAAATTCTTCTCCACAGCTTATATTCTGATGCACGCTGATCAGGAGATCGAATTGTTGCTCTGGTTCGCCGTCAATAAAAGTTAGGGAAGACTCTTCGAATATAAACTTTCTGCCATTTGTATAAATTCGCCACTCTAAATGAACATACAATTATTGATAATATTTTTCCTTCAATCACAAAATTGAATCATTTTATCTCACTTATTTTCACAATATCAATTTTTCTTTTACCTTAAGGTTCTGCGCGAGACATTAAAAATGGCGAAAGAAAAACGTCCTAAACGCTGGACTATAATTTTATAAACTGGTCTCAATCATTCTCGTCTTCATGCCTGTCCCCACTCATTTCATTTATATATACGACGAGTGACGATTCGGGAACAAACGTTGATTTTCGGCAAATCGAGGAAACACCTCTTTTCTTTTTGCTCGAGTGTCCGTCTCACAATTTCATTATCGCACAAATATACTTTTACATATACATGAAATTTAGATCCTTACAATTGTTATTAACTTTTAACGATATTTTACAATTGCATCTATACTTTATCGCACTACCGTATAAAAAGTAACACCCGGTATAAGTCGGTTACCGTGTCAAAAATTTCCTAAGTTTTTATTCTAAGTTTAAACTTTAGAGACACCCGGTATAAGTCTTGATTTTCCAAAATCTTATTTTCTCGACTTATTTCATTCAATTTTATTTGTCACCCGGTATACTAATTTTATTTCTAACTTGACAAAATTATTTTCGGATTAATCGCGAAACTTTTCGTGTTTACTATTTTTTTTTCCAAGTTACACACGACCTTGATCACGAAAACAAAACAAACCGGCGTCTTACAACGACAAAATTTTCTCTCAAAAATAATCGATAAATTCACTTTTTCTTTTTAATTCTTGATTTTATTTTCCGTTTTTTCAATAATTTTCACTAATTTTCGCTAATTTTCACGAATTTAGTCACGATTTCAAAGAATTTTTCACGATTAATTTTTACCGGTCTTTACGCGCACTTTTTCACAGAAATTTTGTCTTGTCTGCGTCCGTCACAAAGAAATTTTGTCACAATTGTCAATTAATACAATACAAAAATGTTTACAGTAATGTCAAGATCAATAATATTCATGCATAAAACATAAGATAAACAATTAAATATGGGAAACAGGAAAAGAAAAGATTTGGTTTCGAGGTTAGGTGACCATGAGGTGACAGGTGGAATTTTCAACAATTAAAAAATGATGAAAAATAAATGAATTTTCTGGGGATTTTCAACAAACGAAGATGAAGAAAAATTATTTTGGAAATTTCAACAAACGAAGATGTTGAAGCAAAAGTATTTCTTTACAGAAAGGAAATGGGAAAGGTGGATTTTTACGTTGGGCGTCAATTTATAATTGGTTGCCCGTATTTCCAATTATAAGGGGGAAAAGAGGGGGAGGAAAGGAAAGAAATGAGACACCAGTTTACAAATAAATGAATTATTTATTCAACTTACGTTACTGAGTGCTTCCACCAGTAGATCACACTATCTCGATGTATAAACAGTCACCGGGGAATCAATGTAGACGAACAGAAAACCACGAGGTGTTGCGTAGGGAGAGATCAGACAACAAGTGTCGCGTCTGCTCGCGAATTCGGCGATTGACACCCTCGAGGCCCTTCGGCCGTTTCCGGGTTCAATCGCCTTATTCGCGACATACGCGGGAGAATTTGTAACACCGTGTTACAATTTTTATTTTTCACAAAAAAAAGAAATTTTGCATTTTTTGAAATTTTATCTTAACACTTTAAAATAATTATTCTAAAATAAAAAATTGGTATATATTATATTGAGGAAGCTAAATAATCATGAAATACACAACTTGTTCTTATTACACACAAATAAACTTTTTTCCTTTTTTTTATTTTATTCACCAAGTATTTAAGAATTTTGTCAATTTTTTACTTTTATTTCCCTGAGTAGGGGAGAGTGGGTCAATACGGGGTACTTAAGGTTTAAAGCGCAAAAAAACGAAAATTATCGAATATATATTTTATTATTTTATTTAATAACCATCTTTGGAAATCAGTTTTTCGTAATAAAGGCGTACAAAGGCCATATGTTTCTTAAAAAAGCATAAAATTAATAATATGGAAAAAATTGCAAATCTTCCCATCTTGCCCCACCGGCGGGCAAGATGGGATACCCTAAGGGGTATAGATGGGATACTCAAGAAAGCAACCTATTTCTGTCGACAAATTTTACAAGTAAAGGTTGCATCTTTATCTTCGACATCGACACCAGAACAACTGCACAAAGCCCATTGGCCGCAGACAGAACATGCAGCTCACCCTTCATTTGAGTCTAAATAATAACCATTACAATAGAGAAAAGCCCAATGGGAAATGCCAGTGTAGGGCCGATGTTCACCACTGGCTTAGTACTCAGACTATTGTTCGGCCGTAGTCTAGCCGAGCCTCGACAATAAGTGCTGGCGCAATACAGAATTTTTGTTTCGCCAAAGCTGGACAAGCCACGGTGGCAAGTGCTGGCTGAGTAAAGAAAAATTGTTCACAACGCTCTTCGCCAACATTGCTTCTTTTGGTAATTATTCAGAATCGTGACTTCTGCCAATTTTGGAGATTAATGATTAATTTCTTTTGGAAAAGCTTTAATTTAACTAGTTATTAAAGAATTCGGTGGGGGAGGATGAAAAAGTTACTTACAGAACGCCAGGGCTGTAAAACAAATTTTTTTTGGTTTTTGACGTTTTACTCGGTAAATATTAAAAATTTTGAAAAACGTTCTACATAAAAGTTGTAGATCTTGCTAAGGTACACATTTTATGTTCAATGAAATTTTTTTATAAATTGAGTATTTTTTGAGAAAAACGCAAAAAACGGAAAATAACCATAGAAACGTAATATAGTAGAAGGGCTTTTCTTGCTTTTGGAAATTTCCGATTATTACTTTTCGGAAAATCCTTTATTTTATAAAAAAAAGACCTTTGGTGGAGGAAAATGAAAAAAATGATTATAAAAGACACAGGGGTGGAAAACAATAATTATTTATTTTATTGTTTATACTCCTGCCCTATTGGCCTTACGCACTTCGACAAGAGTCCCCGAGAGATACTTTTTTTGGATTAAGCATAACCATTCTACTTTAGAAATTTTTCTATATATTAACCTAATTTGCGTCTACAGCCGACTTTATTAGGAGTACTCGCATTACGCCTGGACCACCCGTCAATGGGTTTTCTCGCCAGAGAAGAGGGAAACTGTAGAAAACCTCTCTGAGTACAACCGGTTTATCGACAGTCGAGTTCTAATGGTGTGTACCGGACAATAATCGACGGTGCACATCATTATACCTCGACGTCAAACCTCCCGCTCAGATTGTCTCACGTGCCGAAAAAATACCAAGCCAAGTGGGCGCGAACCAAGGATACTTATACCCTTGGTCCTTAAACGACCACCAACGCCAGGCATTTATCCGACTGAGCCAATCTGTCGGTTGAAAAAAATAATTAAATAACAATAATAACCTAAAAAATCGTTTAGGTTCATTCAGTTCAGGAACCATCTTTACGAATTAACAGTCATAAAAAGGGAGTATAATTGGCTTTCTAGTTGGTCGAAGATCACGTATCTAATGGTGGCCCTGAAAAAGGCTGTTTGACAAGAAAGGAAATAAAATTTTAATATAATTGTTGTTCCATCAACTATTTTGTCTTTAATGACGCTCAGTAATGTAGCACTGAGCTCAAATCCACCAAATAGCCACTGACCATCAATAGTTCTTCCACGGTGGTACTTCCGTTTTGCAAATTTTGCTTTATCTATTTCAACAATTTTACCTGGACCACCTAATTTGGTAGATGAAATGTCTAGGCACCAGAGAAAGATTGCCTTTTTTTATAAAATTGCCCCAATCTATAACAGTGTGATCACTGAATCCCAATTCTCGCTTCAAAAATTCTGTCCTCGGAGGAGGACAGATTGTTAGTCTCCATCTTTAATACAATTTAATTTAAAAGAGGAATATTTTATGAATAATAACTATTTATTAATATTATTTACCATTTTGTTGTTAAATTATTTAAAATTATTAATTTAATACTAATTAATAACAATACGGCATTTATTGCGGCAATATTCTTAGCCAGCACTGGTCCAGTGCTGCGCCAGCGCTGTCTGGCAGCACTGGCAGGCAGTACTTCGCCAGCGTTACACAGCGTTATCATCCCAGCGTTATGCCAGTACTGACAGTGCTGGCGAAGTACTCCGCCAGTTGTAAATTTCCTATTGGGA